AAACCTGGCGCCGTTACGGCAACCCTGAATGATACTCTGAGTGGGTTGAAAGCCGAGAGAATGTGCACCCAGCTGAGAAAGAACGCGGGCAGGCATACAACTTTGAAGCTCAAGAGCAAGCAAAACTGTGGGAAACCCGAGACGGAGAGCTGCCTGAACTAGTTTACTCCACTTGATAGTGTCGTAGAAGAACTTAATATCAACCACGCCATGAGCATAGGTAGCACCTAGTTTGTGGGCGACTTCGGCGTCGAGAATCCTCATAAAAGCTTCAACCAGAGGGGAAGTTCCTTCGATGGCGGCGTCCCACTCAGGGACGGTGTCCCTGGACCACTGCTTGGAGAGATCGTCCCGAGCGAGGCTCCAGAGCCTACAAAACATAGGGAGGATACCGATGACCCTGTCGCCCGAAGACTTCTTGGGGAGGAGCCTCCCCAAGCATACAAGTAACTGCCACGGCCAAGAAACAGAAGCCTCGATGGCCTCGTAGATGCCAGAGAGTTCTTCCAGAGCGCTGTCAGGGAGCCTCTCGAAGTCGATGGGCGTGAGCCTATCGACTCCGAGTCCAGCCTTGGACTTCATCTTCTTAAGGGCCCCGCGGAGCTGAGGAACAGAAAGGGGAACCAGATCTTCAACTTGAGCAGCGGACCTGACGACTTCAAAGACCTCCTGAGCCTCTCCGAAGTTCAACTCCTCTGGAGCCCATAGAGAGTGATACTGCTTCACTTTGGCATCTACGATGTCCGACGGGTGGAACAGACGCTTGCCATCCACGCACAGCTCGTCGGAAGCCTGAGGAGCGGCACGCAGGGAGCGATGCACGGCGCCCATCGCGGACTCTTGGACGATCCAGTCCTGGAAGTCCCGAAGAGAGGCTGAACAGCCCTACGCTTGGCACGGTGTGATATCTTGCTGGCTTGTGCATGCATGTCTTCAAGTATTTTAATATCAATAGTGCTGATATCCTGTAGGTAATGCAACCAACGCTCCCAAGAAAACTTATGCTTACCATGAATAAGGATGGTATGAGCCCCTTCAGGTATATCATTGACTAAACGCAGAGCGACTGAGGCGAGTGAGGCAATCTGCTGCAGACCATTCTGTCGCGAACTGTGCCGAAAACATCTCAAAAGGACCGTGTGCAAGCGACACCACCATGCTGCAACATAATCGGAGATAGGCGCCTCACGAAGATGCTCAGCTTTGTGCACGACATGCTGGACTAGATGCGGACCGACAGCACGTGATGTGCCCTGCTGTAACTCTCCCCCATGATGAGCCAGAACAGATTTTTCGACAGACTTGACCCAAGACGCGTAAAGCCCACTGATGTGAAGAATGTGGGGCCCTCCGATATGATAAGCGCCCGAATCCCGAACAACAGGCCAGACATCGTCAGCATCTTGATGCGCGTAGCCAACTTCGCGCCGCTGCTGCTGCCACACATGAGGGGGGATGGAGAAGGAGGGGGAACTGTCAAGAGGCTCGGTGCCCTGGGACCTCCCCTCAGCCTCCAAAAAAAGGTCGGTGCCACTAGGTGGGGACCCTGGATTTTCATCATGCGCGAGTGGTGACTGCACAGCAGGAGCACTAGTAGACCACTGAACGTCTTGGGCCCAAGGATCAGGCTCTTCGTCCCAATCTGCCAGAGTCTGAGAGTTAAAAGGGTCTGTGGGGTCCTCGGGGCTGCTACCGCACTCCTCATCCACCTGTACCTGGGAGGGCCCGAGAAGATCCCCAAAAAACTTGTGACACGCTTCGTCGAATTTGGCCTTGAAAGCGGCACGGCGTTCTTGTTTAGACTTCTTGGCCAACTGCGATTTGCTCCCAGCCTGAGGGGCGACCGAAGGGCGGACGACCTGCGGCAACTTCCGTGGGAGCATGAGAGACCGAGTGATAAGCTGCATGTCTTGACTACGCAACCTGACACTGAGCCCACAATGCGTGCCCCAAGGCACGTCGAGGATGGGGAAGAGGCCGAGGGCGTAAGGACAAGCCGACTTAGAAGCCAGCATGAAATCTATATGTGATCCGCCCGTTCCTGCAACGCAAGTGCGTTCGATATCCGAGACATAAACGTACGCACCTACTTTTTCTATAAACCCGCACTTGGCGAGCTCTAGTGGCGACATGTTGAAATCCCCTATGAGAATCCACGGAAGCTGCAAGGTGGCAACAAGGGCCCCAACCCGAGAGAGCCGCCTAGCGTTGTCCCCATGGAAACCGAAGGAAGAAAGGCCGTAGTAGGTAATAACTACAAGGGAATAGCCACTAAAATGAATGACGACAGGGACGAAGCCGTCAAACGAATCACTGCCAGAACAAAGCTCAGGAAACTCAGAAGGACTGCCGAGCGAATGCACCTGCCTGTGACCCTGGGCCAAAAACAGTTCACCCCCCTCTCCGCGAGCACCCCTGGACTCAAGCTGATGGTCCTTGGGCCGAGCGGGGTTGAAAAAAAAAAAAAAAAAGACTTAAACTTACTAGCGCGAATCTTGCCTTGCCATCTATCTTGCTGGCTGGCGAAGATATGAGTCTCCGCGATAGCCATGTAGTGATGCGCCTCTCTGACGGGGCGTGATCGTAGGAAGTTCCACGCTTGCTCGCCCCAGCAAGAAACGCTGCCGAACAAAATTGAACTAAAATGTGACGGCTCGTCACACTCGCAAGGCGCTCCTGGAGCGCCCTCACTCGATGACAAGGAAGCCGCCGAGGTCGGCGTAGGGCCACTGTCCCCATGCTCACCAGCGTCTCCCCCAGCTGAACCACGAGGAGACAGCGCCTGAGACGCGGGTGTGCTCATACCAGTGAATGTCTGACTTGATGATGAAGCCGTTGTCGAAGCTGCAGACTGGGCTCGACTGGCGGAGGCTCACGCTCCGCCCGAGACACTCTCCTGCGACACGGCCTCCTTCTGCTGCTTGGCAAGCTCCGCGGCCTTGAACTTGGCTTCGGAGATGCGCTTCGCCTCGTTGACGATGGCCGTCTCGTCGGGGGCTGGCGGAGCGGTGGCGGCGACTGGCGGTCCCGCGGCCGCTGCTGCGCCGCCCGAAGGGGCTGTCGCGGCCGCGGGTGGCGCAGGGGGGGCGCTGGCCCCTGCGCTGGCGCCGTCGCTGCTGCCACCACTCGCCTCGGCCGAGCCATCGACCCCCTTACGCTTCTTCCCCATGCGATCGTTGACTGTCTGCTTGAGCTGCTCCATGCGATTCTTCCACTCCGTGATCTTGGTGTTGCGCTCGCTGAGGTTGGAACGTGCCTGCTGCAGCTCGCTCTCTAACTTGCGCAACTCAATGCGTTCTGATTCCTCACAATCATACTCGTCAAGCCGACTGAAGAACTCCTCATCCCACTGCAAATCGAACAAGTTGGACTTGAGGTCCGCCTGGCTGGACGAGAGTGAATCACCAGCGAGGACCCCTGACTCCTTGGCCAGCGTGATGGTCGCCAACTTCTTGGCGGCCTCGGCGCGTGCCAAAATGACTGCAGCCTCAGCCTCTTTGATCTCTGCCATGTGTAAGCTGTCACGCAACTTGAGCACTTGATGAACAGATTGGTCGTGCTTGGCATGAGCATCTCGAAGAGCACTGTCCGCGCGCTTCACCGACTCCTCAGTGGAAACAGGCTTCGGAGAGGGAGTGCTGCGCAGCGCTGACATCTGTTCTAAGAGAACCTTCTTCGTGTTCATGTCCTTGGTGTCAGCCACCAGCTGAGTGAGCATGCTGAGCATGCGCTGATTGTCATCAGAGACGGCGCCACTCGCTGCTGCACTGGACGTACCGCTGTCGCCCTTGCTGCCGTTGGCGTGCACCGAAGAAGTGTCCTGGCTACCGACTGTCGATGCGTCCTTCTTGGGTTTGGCCTTGAAGACCTTGACTGGGCACCTGCATTTGCTGCACTGATTGTTGCGAGTAGACAAAATGTCGTTCCACTCGGTCGTAGGAGGAGGAGGAGGAGGAGGAGGAGGAGGAGGAGGAGGAGGAGGGGGGGGAGGATGAGGGAGGATGGAGGAGGAGGAGGAGGGGGAGGGGGAGGAGGGAGGGGGAGGGAGGAGGAGGAGGAGGAGGAGGACAACGACGACGACGAGGAGGAGGAGAGGACGAGGAGGACGACGACGAGGAGGAGGAGGGAGGAGAGGAGGAGGAGGGGAGGAGGAGGACGACGAGGAAAACGAGGAGGAAGGGGGGGAGGAGGAGGAAGGGAGCCGGGCCTCGGGGGTGCGGGTCCGTGCAGCTCCACGGCCTCGCGGGCGAGGCCCCCGGGGGCCGCGCCCCCGCACGCCGGGGGCGGCCAGGGGGGGGGGCGTCCAACGCGCGGGGGGGGGGGGGGGGTGCAAGTCATGGCCGGCGGCACGTGTGCGACCCAGGGAGGGCCTCCTCCTCCTCCTCCTCCTCCTCTTCCTCCTCCTCCTCCTCTCCTCCTCCTTCTCCTCCTCCTCCCTTCTGCTCCTCCTCCTCCTCCTCCTCCTCCTCCTCCTCTCTCCTCCTCTCCTCTCCTCCTCCTCCTCCTCCTCCCTCCTCCTCCTGCTCCTCCTCCTCCTCCTCCTCCTCCTCCTCCTCCTCCTCCTCCTCCTCCCCTCCTCCCCTCTCCCCTCCTCCCCCCTCCCCCTCCCCCCTCCCCCTCCCCCCCCCTCCCCCTCCCTCCCCCTCCCCCCGCCCCTCCACATCCTGGGGGGGGACCAGGGACGAATTGAGGTAAGAAGAGGCGCCGTGAAATCTGGGGGGACAGCATGGCCCCCGCCATGATCTCCCCCCCCCTAGTCATCACCTCCCGCTTCTGACGAACGAACAACACGCACCCATATCCATAGGTGGGACGGAGGGGGCTGTGGGTGCGTGTTGTCGGCTGGGGGTCCCCGCTCGAAAGGAAACGCCCCCCAGGATCCGACAACCCGCATCCATACCCATAGCCAGTCCTCTCCCAAACGTTCCCCCTATGGGTATGGGTGTGTGTTGTTCGTTCGTCAACTCTGCCGCCCCCGAACATGGACGATCGGGGCGCGCCTGTTGGGCGGGCGCCTCGCGCGGGGCGCAAACCGTGCGGCCGCGCACGCGAGGGACGTCGCGCCCCCGGAGCCCAGCCCGCGAGGGCGCGGAAGTGGATGCTACGGTGGAGGCCAGTCCGCGGGAAACCCCAGACCGCGAGGGCGTGGGAACGGATATTTCGGGAGCGGCCAAGAGGGGGGTGTCCAAGAGGGGGGGTGCAAATCATGACCCGCGGCACGTGCGCGGCCCAGCGGGGGGGCCAGGGACGTAATGAAGTGAGAAGAGGCGCCATGAAATCTGGGGAGATAGCATGGCCCACGCCATGATTGATATCCACCCCCCCTAGTCATCACCCACGTCTTTTCCGCCCCCGAATATTACAGCAGAGGCCAGTCCACGAGAAACCGTCCGCAGGAAACCCAACCCTGAGACCCCGGGACGTCCATCCAGTGTTGGTGCGGGAACGCCACGCCTTCCATAGCAGAACCATCGGAACGCAAGAAACCAAGGGCACCCTGGAGGCAAGCAGGGTGTTTCTTGGCATGTGTCTCCACTGTATCATTTTCGCCGCTCGTGAGCGCAGGCCCCTCCCTCGCGTCGTGCAAAGGCACAATTTGGAGTCCCGAAACGGTGCGGTGACAAACCGTGCGGTGACCTCGAAATCCCCCAAAACCTCACTGCACGGTCCGTCACCGCACGCGGTCGTGGGACCCTGGAGGCCCCCGTCGCCCGAGACGTCCTCGGAACACGACCCGAGTCCCAAAACCGCGCGGGTGTGATAGGGCTCGGGAGGCGGTGCGGACACTGGGATCGGGAGAGGGAGCTGAAACAGAGATGTATCAGTACTCTGCGCTCGGCACAGGAACCCACGAGATCCAAGCCAGACCCGAATCCCACCGCACGGTGTGGTCACCAGCCCGTTCAGGGACCCCCGGCACAGCTGGCCCTGGGGGTGAGAGAGCAGCGCCCCCGGGGAAGGGTCGGGGCCTCTCGGGGCCCACGCCGCGGATAGGGAGCGCGGCGTCGGGGCCTGCAGAGAGAGAGAGAGAGAGCACCACCCCAAAACTGGAAGGGATTGATTTGAGCCGCCCCTCCCCTTCGCCTGTGCAGGGAGCCTACAAAAGGACGTACGCGCCCACCTATATACATGAACACGGCCCCTCGATTCGCGAGACCGGCCGCGTTATACGAACATTTGTGCAATGCGTGCTCTCGAGACCAGCGTGGATTCATGTACATGTACGTCCTTCTTTCGCTCCTGACTGTGTCCGCGCGTGACCTTGTCTAGGTAGCCACACGTCAACCCTGCCCCTGCAGATTAGCTGCATGTGTGGCAAATCGGCTGGGGTGCCGAGCTTGAAGGATGTCTGCAGCCGAATGAACCCCCAGCGGGGGTATCCGCTACCCCAGCGCCGATTGGATTCGCAGAGCCCGGGTCAAATGGCAGTCGCAGACTTGTCTCCACTGAGGTCTGTCCGTGCTGCCGCTCTCATGCAGCCCTTGCAGGTGCAAACCGCGCTCCAAATCATGATGCTCGGGGCGATCGTACTCACACGAAACGTCGTGTTCATAGCAACAGCACGCATTGCACCCCAGGCAATCCTCCTCCTCCTCCTCCTCCTCCTCCTCCTCCTCCTCCTCCCCATCATCATCAGCAACAGCATCAGCATCATCGTCATCAGCATCCGCAACATCCTCCTCCTCCTCATCCTCATAATCTTCATCGTCATCAGCAGCATCATCATCCTCATCATCAGCATCATCGTCATCATCAGCAACAACATCATCATCACCATCATCATCATCCTCATCATCATCTTCATCAGCATCATCAACATCATCATCACCATCATCGTCATCATCAGCAGCATCAGCATCAGCATCATCATCAGTAGCATCATCATCAGCATAATCATCATCCGCATCATCAGCACCACCAGCATCATCGCCGTCGTCATCAGCACTATCATCATCGTCAACATCACCACCACCACCACCATCATCATCATCATCATCATCATCCACCACCAAGAACATCATCATCATCGTCATCATCATAATCGTCATCATCCCCATCATCACCGTCAGCACCATCCTCATCATCAGCATCATCATCGTCGTCATCATCATCATCAGCAACAGCACCATCATACTTAGCATCATCGTCATCAGCATCGTCAGCATCATCAGCAGTATCATGGGCCGGCAACGACACGCGGCATTATGGGCCGGCAACTACGCGCGGCATTATGTATGGCACCCGCCCAGCAGAAGACCCGCAGGCGATCGCAACGGTCACTGCGCCGACCCTGCAGACGTGCTGCCGCGGATTCGTGGGTGGATCTCAGTCAATGCTAATAGAGGCCTCCTCAGTTTGATGAAGACTACAAACATTCCACGTGAAATTTACTTCGTTTTTGGCCGGCCGTTTCGGGATTTAGCTCTAGGCTTCCTGGATGGGCTCCGAGTAGATGGGGTCGAAGGATCGCACCGCATCGCCGATGCATCGCCGATGTATCGGCGATGCATCGGCGATGCACCCGCGACGTTGGCGATGCATCGGCGACGTAGGCGTGGAGAACATCGGGCTCCGCATCGAGCCGCATCGCCGATGCATCGCCGATGCATCGGCGATGCGGCGCGATCCTCCGACCCCATCTACGCCGACCCCATCTACGAAGCCTAGAGCTCAATCCCGAAACGGCCGGCCAAAAACGAAGTGAATTGCACGTGGAGTGTTTGTAGTCTTCATGCCTGGCCAGCAAAGTCCGCGCGAAATTCACTACGAAATCCGGAACGAAATTCTCCAGGACAATCCGGACCCCCCAATCCGGGCCCACGAAATCCGTTTCCGAACGAAATCCGCTCTGCGATGTTGGCGCCACGAGCAACCTACTTGCACCACTAGTAAAACTCGAAATAGAAAGCAGTCGCAAATGGGCCTGGTCTTGTGGTTGTGCTGTGATGCTGCCCTGTCCTGGGCCAAGATGGATACCATGTGCACCGACACCAAAAAACACGATTGGAAGTAGCTTGCCCATTGGATATCGTAAATGATCATGTATAAAAACTGTTTGCAAATATGTTGGGGAGACTGTTTAAAACATGGTGTTCCCCAGCGCTGTAATGCGCCTATAGAAAACACAAGGGAGGCGGGGCAAACTGGATCGCTGGAGACGTCCCCGCGACCGCCCTGGCGCCATGCGTGCAGGGGCAGATTCCTGCGCACCCCCTCTTGGCGTCAGGCCACGCCTGCCACGCCCTGCGACCCCAGCGTGGATAGAGGCTGCGCTCAGGGACCACTCCCTGCGCACCGCGCACCCTGTCTGGGTTGTGAACAAACCATCCCTGACACGCCCGAGGCTGGCGTGGAAAGAGACCGCACTTGGGGACCATCCCTTGCGCATGCCCTCTGGCGCCGAGCGGGCGCCAAGTGCTTTAAGATGGCCTCCAAGATGGCGCAATATGGTCCAAGTTGACTCAAGATGGCCTCATCAGACCGGCGACATGTGATGAAAATATGATGCAACTAACGTTGTCTTCTGAGGCGGGGAGTCGAGGCGGAGGGGAGCGGAAGCAGAGTAGAACAACAGGACAGGAGAGGGGCTGGACCAGGTTACGACGAAGGCCGGATCGCCCTCCAGGCCAGAAAGGCCCTCAGCAATCCGCTCAATTCGAGGCCGCACCAAGGCTACACCAGGTTGCAGCGAAGGTCGCACCGCCCTCTGGGCCAAATTTGCGGGGCTACACCTGAATACGATGAAGGCCGCCCCCCCCCTGGGCCACGCAAGCGGGGCTACACCAGGTTACAACGAGGGCCGGCGCACCCTCCAGGCTAGACATAAGGGGCTACACCAAGCTACAATGTCACATCGGCATTCTCCCTGGTACCGAGGTATATACAAGTGGCATCGATCGGCGGGGACAGATAAAAAAATGTTATTCGGATGCGAATGAATGGCAGTCGGGATCCGGGGGGGGAGGGGGGGTCATCTTTTCTTTTAACCAGTTTTGGACATTACGTGTATGATCACATGTATGTTGGACGTGTCGGTACATGTTGCGTTGCATGTAGACTTGGAAGAACGCCCAGCATCCCCTTTGCACTAGCAATTCCAAGACGCCGTTTCAATCACAGTTGCTCGGGGAGCAATCGCAAGCAGAGTTGAACCATGATGGCCTTTGCACAAACCAATGCTATGCAAACCACATGTGATCGCAGGAAAGGAGCAAGACACATTGTGTAACGGGGGGGGCCATCACACGGAATGCAGCGCCGCGCGTTGCGGCCGAGCTCACTGGCGCCGCAAAGTTGGGTTCTCGGGTCATACCTCGGATGCCAGGCGGCCGTGTGGAACGACCCGGGCACCTCCAGACGCCACTCGGCGAGGCGCAGCCGCTGGAACGCACCCCGAGGCTAGAGAAACCGCCTAGAATCAACGAAAACGCCCGAAAACCTGGAACCTTCAGCTCTCAGCCCGGCTTGCCGACGCACACGCCAGCTGCGGCTAGCTGCTCTTTGAGTACGGGGAGCAGGGCTGCCAGCAGCATCTCGCGCCCTGCTCTGCAGAAGTGGTGGTCGTCGGGCAGGTAGACGTCCTGGGGCGGCGCTTCGGACAAAGGGTCGAGCTCCAGCAGGAAGGTCTTGCCCCCATCACCTGCCACGATGTCTTCCTCGGAAGATCAAAGAACAGCATAAGCATATATGTTCGAAGGTCCGCGCGGATTTCTTGGGTCGGCGCTGGAAACCCCTCGCAAGCGCGCTCCGCGCACCAGTGGCGGCGCCAGAGGCGCCGCCAGGGGGGCCCAGCGCCGATCCCAGGATCCGCGCGGAGCTCCGAAGCGGATGCTCATGCGAGCGCTTCTTGTTCGATTCCTGCAGGAGCCTGTTCAGCTTCTTCACCTCCTCCTCCTGCGCCAAGGCGCGGTGCAGCGGCGTCACGGGGAGGGCCACCAGCACGACGCGCGCCTGCGGCAGCCTCTCGCGCAGGGCCGCGTGGGAGGCCCGGATGGCAGCGGCCGCTTCCGCGGCCTTCGAGCCGCAGAAGAGGTCGTGGCTGCCGCACGCGTAGACCAGAACCGCGGGCTTGTGCCGCAGAGCGAGTGCCTCGAGAGACTCGTGCACCAGGGTCGTCGTCGTCCCCGCGTAGGCGGCGTTGACCACGGGCACCGCCCTGCCCAGGTGAGCCGCCACGCGCTCCTGGAGGTCGCCGACCTGCGACAGCAGGCTTCCCCCAAGGAAGACCACGCCGCCCTTGGCTGCGCCGTCTGCCCTGTGCTGCACGTTGAGCGCCTCCGACGTCTCAACGGCCTTCTCCTTCATGGCCTGCAGGTGCACCTCCTTGAGGGAATCCCACGCCATTGCTCGATAGACCAGGTACTCAAAAGCCTTCACCGTCTTCTGCCGCCCGACCAGCGCCGACCTGAGGGGCAAGGGGGTACTGGCCCAGGGGGGACACATCGACCCGGAATCGGCGATGCATCGCGGACAAGTCGGCGACAGGCCCAAACTGCACCCTCCTGGGCGGGGTACTGCGCCAAGGCGCGGTGAAGCGGAAATCCTAGAGAGCATGCGTATGCCGCCTTGTTCTTGGGGGAAGCGGATCCCGAGGGAAACTGGTCCTGGACCTCGGGGCCTTCCCCCAAGGACGAGCTCTCCATCCTGAGTCGTCTCCTGACGGTCCCGAGGCCCGTGGAAGGCCCCAAGAGCCCGAAGTCGGCACAAACCTCAGGACCCGCTTCCCTCAAGACCCGCTTCCCCCATGGCTTCGGACGCCCAAAAATGGGTACGGAAAAGATGGGCACAATGCCCAACAGCAAAGGTTGCCCCGAACCAACTCGGCGGCCGCTGCTGGGCAGGCGGCATTCTGCCTCAGACGGGCACCGGCCGCGGGCACCGGCCGCGGCGGCGCGGACAGCGAGACCTGCTCAAAACAAACAAGCACTGCTGCTGGGCATTCTGCCCATTCTTTCCGTGGCCATTTCGCTAGTGCCGAATGGCAACTTTACGAGCAGGAGGAGGCGGAGGAGGATGAGGAGCAGGAGCAGGAGCAGGAGCAGGAGGAGGAAGAGGAGGGTGGGGAGGAGGAGGAGGAGGAGGAGGAGGGAGGAGAGGAGGAGGAGGAGGAGCAGGAGGGAGGAGGAGGAGGAGGAGGAGGAGGAGGAGGGGGCAGGGGGGCAGGAGGGGGAGGGGGGAGGGGGAGGAGGAGGAGTAGGGAGGAGGAGGAGGAGGAGGAGAGGAGGAGGAGGAGGAGGAGGGAGGAGAGGAGGAGAGAGGAGGAGAGGGGAGGAGGAGGAGGAGCGGAGGAGGAGGAGGGGAGGAGGAAGGAGGAGAAGGAGGAGGTGAGGAGGAGGAGGCGGAGGAGGAAGGAGGAGGAGCGGAGGCGCGGAGGAGGAGGAGCAGGGCGAGCGGAGCCCACGGCGGCTCGGCAGCGGCCCCCCCTGGGCCCCCCCCCGACGCCCGAGCGCACCAGGGCCGCCGAGCGGCGCGCGGCCGTGGCGGCGGCGGGGGCCCCTCACGGAGGCCGGGGGGCAGGAAAGCCCCGAGTCAAACCCATACTCTGAGAACTGTTTGCTAAGAAGTGATTAGTTAGCAATTAATATGCTTATTCGTTAAGAACTACTCTTGGACGCTAAGCAAGCAAAGTTTTGCCTAAAGGGATCCGAACACTCATACCTCATATAGGATTTGTTTTATCAGGAATAATTTCAGCTACTACAAGGTTGGCCACATGACAAGCTGTTCGCAAATGCACTGTAACTAACTGCTCCCATCAAATAAATTCGCCGGCCCAACGGGCCAGAGGCGTGCTAAGATCTCCGGTAACTGGATAACAATTCTCTAGTTCGCGCGCGCGGGGCGGCCCCTGGGGGTCCCCGGACGAAAAGTACCCCGGGCGATCCCCGACCGACCCCCGAGCGATCCCCGGGAGACTCCCCCAGAGCGCTCCAGGAGCGCTCCATGAGCGCACCAACAGGGCTCCGAGACGTCCCCGAGAGCCCCAAGAAAGGCCAAGAGGCCCCCAAGAGGCCCCCAAGATGGTACACGAGGGGTCCGACATGCCACAAGATCGCTCCAAGACGCCCAAGATAGCCCCCAGACGCCCCAAGAGGCCTCCAAGAGCACTCCCAAGAGGGCCCCCGGAGGCAAAATTCATTGTTTTTCCTTAGGTTTTTGAGAGATTTTGGAGCTTCCACCTTTTCGGTTCCCGACGCCCCAAGACGGCCCCAGAGGCCCCCAAGATCGCCCCAAGAGGGCCCAAGAGGCCCCCAAGAGGGCCCCAAGATGGCCCAAGAGGGCTCGAAGACGGCCCAAGAAGCCTCCAAGACGGTCCAAGAGGGCCCCAAGAACGCCCCCAAAGGGGCCCCAGAGAGGGAACACGAAACAACATTTCGAGCCCTCGGCCCTAAGAAGCCCCTACGAGGCCCCAAGAGGCCCCTAAGAGGCCCCAAGAGGCCCCCACGAGGCCCTCAGGAGGCCCCCAAGAGTCCCCCAAGCGGCCACAGGAGGCCCCCCAAATGCCCCCCCGAGCGCCCCAGGAGTCACCCAAGCGGCCCCAGGAACCCCCAAAGCGCCGCATTGACACCAGGCCCTCGGGCAAACGGCAGACATGAGACTGTATGGGCCGGCGGAATGATCGAAGCGATTAAATAATTATCCCGGCAAAGCAACCTAACATCGATGTGTAGGAGCATATCTGGAAGCATTCCCCTTAAGATTCGGATGAGAATCAAGTTGTCGAATTCTGCTGTTCTCGCAGTCGTAGTCGCATTCGCGATGACAGTCGCAGTGGCAACGGCAGTCGCAGTCACAGCCTCAGCCTCAGCCTGCCTCAGCCTCAGCCTAAGCCTGCCTCAGCCTCGGCCTGCCTCAGCCTCAGCCTCAGCCTGCTTCAGCCTCAGCCTCAGTCTGCCTTCAGCCTCGGCCTCAGCCTCAGCCTGCCTCACCTCAGCCTGCATCAGCCTCACCCTCAGCCTCAGCCTGCCTCAGCCTCAGCCTGCCTCAGCCTCACCTCATCCGCACCGCCTTCAGCCTCAGCCTGCTTCAGCCTCATGGTGGTGCCCAGCTTTCAGCAAGCCTCCAGCCTCGGCCCCGCCTCACCTAGGTCAGCCTCAGCCTCAGGCATCAGCCTCAGCCTCAGCTTCAGCCTGCCTCAGCCTCAGCCTCAGCCTGCTCCTGCATCAGCCTCAGTCTGCCTGCAGCCTCGGCCTCAGCCTCAGCCTGCCTCAGCCTGAGCCTGCCTCAGCCTCAGCCTCAGCCTCAGCCTCAGCCTGCCTCAGCATCAGCCAGCCTCAGCCTCAGCCGCAGCCTGCCTCAGCCTCAGCCTCAGCCTGCTTCAGCCTCAGCCTCAGTCTGCCTTCAGCCTCGGCCTCGGCCTCGGCCTCAGCCTCAGCCTCAGCCTGCATGAGCCTCAGCCTCAGCCTCAGCCTGCCTCAGCATCAGCCTGCCTCAGCCTCAGCCTCAGCCTGCCTCTGCC